AATGTGTATTGTGAAAAAAAGAAAGAAAGAGAGAAAAAGATAGAGAGAGAGTAAGAGCGAAATAAAAATGAGGAATCAATAAGAGAGAGAGAGAGGGAGAGAAAAAAAAAAAGAAAAGAAAAGTAAAGTTATACATGTATGTATAGTGACTCAATTTAATATTCGGATATCATGGATTTTGAAATATGATTTACCTGTACACTTACTTTGATTTGGCGTACATCGAACGAAGTATTTTTTCATCGTGCGTCCCATTTTGGCTAATAATACATACGATATCAATAAATTTTCGATTTAAACTGAATCACATAATTTTGGAATGAATTTTTCAACACGGAATTATGTTTGGAAATAATAGTTATGTATCGGTCAAACTACGTATTATAATTTTTGTAGAACGAACAAGCTGCAAAAGGTAAAGTATGTCAGAATATTTTAGCGACACAGAAAGTAAACGTTATATCATTTATATAACATCATGTTAAGAAAATAAATAAAATTTATATTTCTGATAATTACAAAAAGTGTATTACTTATGTTTAATAAAAAAAAAAAAAAAAATAACAAGAATTCTTTAACACAATTCTAATAATAAATCAATGTATAGGACAATCATATTTAAAATAACCATGGTGTTCGAATATTAATACGAATTACTTTATGTACACATATCTACTGAAGAAAAAAGTTAATTCATAGTGAAATGTGTGTTGGATTATTTAAAAAAAAAAAAATCGTTATAGTAATCGCGTTAAATTATTATTCTACGGGTTCGATCGCGTGATTCGAGAATATTTGTTGGATAGTGTCGTATACTTTTTTTTATAAATAAATTCACTTGTGTCGTTGTTATTTTATGTGTACGTGTTTGCCAATATGTCTCTATTACGTGTATATGCGAATAATGACAGACGAAAATAATTAGAATAAAACGTTCACAAACGTTTCCTTCAAATAGAAGGGGAAAAAATGTGAATGGTATTTCGATTAATTGCCGATCGATCTGCGTGAAAGAGCTGGCTGTTTTGCAGCAATGCGATATAACCAATTAAAAAAAAAGGACAGGTCTGTAAATAAATATTTATGTACGTATGTCTTTTTCGATATATATATACATTCAATGCGTAAGTTAATATAACAATACGTTTGAATTAATTTTCGAGGATTCTCTTGAGGAACGTTAACACTAAAACTACCCCTACAACTATTAATTTAGGTATTATATTTATGATACAACTATATGTATACTATTAACGTATAACTATTTATAGAAACAAAGTTAATCAAAATGACTGACTGTAGTATATCTCGGTATAATATTCGAATATCTTATATACAATAGTTTACCGTTTTCATGGAAAAAGGTTTAAGTGTATAATATAATAATATAGTATACTGAACGTATGTTATTATATTATATTGCTTAAAAAAAAACTTCTTTTTCTTATTAATTCAAAGTTTGGGTTTTCTCATTTAGCATTAATGAAAAATGAAAACTGGTGTTCGTTTATATAAATATGAGAAACCGCAAAACATTCCAAATGATTTATAGTAATTTACACAGAGACGGCTCGTATATTGAAATCGTGAAAGTGGTGTAACTTTTGAAATATATATACACGCTGCAAAATACAATAAGTACGTGTATTTATAATATCAAAATTGTGAAAAAAATTATCTAAAAAAGCATTGTTCGTTATCGTTAAAAAATTATATAATAATTTAGAATAATTCAAAATGATTTAATATATTAAAATCCACATTATTCTTGCGTTTTTTCGAGTAAAACCTGTATACATAAATAAAAAAAATGAAAGTGACGAACAGTGCCACATTATGCTAATAGCTTGCATCTCACTACGAACGTGGATATATTTGCATATTGTTATATACATATTAATGTTGAAAAAAATAAGAGAATAGTATAGGATTGCTACTAATAAAATTAAATATTATAATGTGAATTACAAATAAATTAATAAATATATTTAAATATTGTGAGAAAAATAAGGGGTGTCGTAATTCGTATAGTATTTATGCACGAGTAGCACATACGTAAATTAACAAAATAAAGGTTAAAAAAAGGGAGGGATGGAAAGCAAATCGATAAATGTAATTCTTTAGTTATTGCATTAAAAGTAATGAAAAATCATTTTTAAAATAACATTTTGAAATCAGTCATTTTGATTGAATTGGGGGGATAGTTTTAGTGTTAAGCGTTCGTTTTAAAATCTTTAACGATCGCTACGTTAATGATAATATCTTTATTTGTAACTTAATTATCAATATTCTTGTCCAAAAATATATTAATATATAAGTCTCAAAGGGAATTATAGACGGTTAATAAATCTAATGAACAATTTATTTTGAACTAGTTGTACGTTTCATCCCTTACTGGGGTCTTCATCAGCAACTTGATCATTTACAGTTCATTCAATACGATACATATAATCTTTTTTACAGAGTCATACATTTCAATAAAACTTAACATATTACAATACAATTTGATCCTAAACACCTTATCTTATCACACGTAATCAAATACTGATTCTATCTAGACTAGTGTTTAATAATCTAGGTATCTTCAGTATTGAAAATATAGTAAATATTTTTTATGCTAAAAGTGAAAAAATT